CATGATGTCCTCCCAGGACTGGTCGCTCCTGACATCACGTCCCAAGTATGTAAAATGAAGTCTCATCATTATTGCCTCTGAAGAGCATCCTGGCCATACTCCTTCCAAAACAGATTTGTTTACCCTTTTGGTAATCCATGGGACTTTCAATAGTCTTTTCCAGCATCACAACTCAAATACATCAATTCTCCTGTTTTCTTCCTGATTTCATAGTGAAAAAAATGAACCTGAGCACCTTTTTACTTCTGTGGAGCTGTTGGTGGTCAGACTGCTTTCTGGGGATCCCAAAGCTGGCACTGACCTTCATGAGAAGTACGCGTTGAGTGTGATTCAACATCTTGGAGCAGTTGCAGTTGTACCATGTCCACAGCCAGCCACAAGTGAACCGGTATTGGGCAATGGAGCCAAAGTTCTGTAGGATCTAGAATGTTGGACAGAAGTATGACATCCTGTTTTGGGTCCCAGCTCTGTTATTGCCCCTTGGTATGGTCTTCCAAACCAAACTCACTGCCATCAAGTTGGTGCTGACTCATAACAACCCTATAGGACAGGGTAGAACCGCCCCTGTGAGTTTCTGAGACTAATTCTTTACAGGAGTAGAAATCCCCTTGGAGTGGCTGATAGTTTCCAACTGCAGGCTTTGTGGCTCACCATCTAACTCATCACCACTACGACACCAGGTCACCTCACTATATGACCCTGGGACCGTCATTTTGAACCTCTAAGCCAGTTTTTCATCTATAAGATGAGGATAATTATCCCTCCCTCATCCATCTCACAGGGCTCCTCCGCACAAAGTTCAAATACAACATGGGCTCCAGTAAGTCATGCAGCTTGGGATCAAGTCCAGAAGAACCTAAGGGATTCTTCCATCACTGAGGCAGCTTTGGGACGAGCTCTGCCAAGTTGAGATGATTAAAATGCAGGTGACTGGGCAGACCGCCAAGGTGTTCAGATCACAGCTCATCCTTCCCCCCTGAGAAAAGTGTGGCTCTGCCCTGGGGCTGCTCCCTGGAAGACTCGTCCTCATCAGAACAATAATGCCTGGTGTCTCAGTAGCATTTTTCAAAGTGTTTTCCTTTCACTATTTCATTTGAACTCCAATAACTTGTACTAGTAAAAGGAAAAGACAAAGAGAAATAATTCTAGTTCTAAACATTGTGTTTCTTACCATGAAGTAAGATGCGTCTCACACATTATAAGAAGGAGAGAGCCGAAGGCCCATCAGGACTGGTGACTTGTCAAGGTTATGGGGCTGGTCAGTGAAAGGGCAAAGGTTTCATTCCAAGTCCAGGTCTCCTGTCAGCTCCCTGCCTCTGGCTCTGGAACTGGGGAAATGGTGAGTTCTTAGGGAGAAACTCAACTTCCCTTAAACCAGAGGAACCGAACTGAACTGAAGGGGGGTGGAAGGTTGTCTCGTCTCACACTCAAGTTCTCAGGTCTTGGATCAGATGCAAAGGAAGCCTCAGAATCATGTCACATTTCCCCAGCCTTCTGGTTTTTCCACTGAGGACACCTGCTGAGTGTTAAGCAGTAGAATCTTTCTTTGTATCTTCATTAAGTAGGTGGGGATATGGGGAATACTGTGCAAGGCAAGCTACACCCAATGCCCAGAAGATAAATATTAATTAAACCAGAATGCAGAAGTTGCCTTAGGCCTGAAGTTTCATTATGACAACTTTGAGCTTCACTAGATGATCTTGACTTTGGGATAACTGAACTGGGTTTCTCAATTTGGGTTGTGTCAGGAAAGAGCGAGTCGGAATACTTGGCTTGAGAATGTGGCTCCAGATGCCCTAGGACATAGGCAATTGGGGATTTTCCTGACCCTGACAACTGTTCCTGGGCTCGAAACCCGTGTGGGTGGATCCACAGACTTATCAGAGGAAAGAAAGGGTATTGATGCACTTAGTTGCTTTTGAGAGACTACTCTGTGCTGAGAAGTCGTGGTGGTGTAATGGATTGTGAGTCGGGGTGCTAACTGCAAGGTGAGTTGTTGGAAACCACCAGCTGTTCCATAGGGGAAGGAGGGTGCTTTTTACACCCATGAGGAGGGACATTCTCAGAAAGCCACAAGGGCAGTGGTGCCCTGTCGTCCAGGGTCATTATGAATCAGGATTGACTGGATGTCAGTGAGTTTGTTTGTTTAGTTTACTCTATGCTGAGGTACTGGGGTGATGCCCAGCTCTAAATGCAAGGTTGTCAGTTCAAATGCAACACACACACACACACACACACACACACACGCAGAGACACCAAAAAAAAATCCCTAGCGATCTACTTCTAGAGCCATTGAGTATCTAAAGAAGGCACTTCTCTGACACACAGAAGGCTACCCTGAGTTGGAATGACTTGACGGCAACCATGTTTTCCCTGTGCTGGACACCAGAGATGCAATGTTTCTCACGAAGAATGAAAAGGCCCTTCCGCCTTGCAGAGGTTAGGGTGAAAAGGGAAATCACACAGCCAAACAAGCGGGAAAACCCTTGTCAGAGTTCCACGGTGGCAAGAACTGTATGAGGCTCTGAAAGTCTGATGTTTGGGTGTCAGAAAAGTGATGCCTGGGATAAGATCTGGAGGATGAAGTGGTTTGATGGGCTGGGCAGGAGAAAAGAGTGGCAAATGATAAGGAAGGGAGCTCTATGAATGTGAAGGACAGAGGTGGCCAGCATATCCGAAGTACACTGCATTGGTGACCAAGCAGGGGACAGGTCACACAGGACCTTCAGGATCCCAAGGAGCTGGAATTATCCTCCATGTGTAAGAGGAAGGCTTTATGCAGTTTAAAGCAGAAAGAATTATGATGTGACGAATGTCTCTATTTTTAAATAATCTGTTTGTGTGAACTTGCACAAACAGATTAGGCAGGGGAGCGGGGGGGGCTAGGGCCGCAGTGGAAACAAGAAGTTCAGTTCAGATGCCATGGGGTCATCAAGTACTGGGAAAGGAGCAACAGCTTCTGCTGGAGGCCTGCTGGACCCATGCATCAGCCTAGACTAGGTCTCCAAAGGCCGCAGTGATGTTGAGACCAACTGTGTACTGGCCCTGTGATTTTGAGAGCTTGATTTTGCCTCGCCTATTTCAGTTTGTTTGATTGGCTAATGGAAGGGAAACATTGTGGCCTACCTACTTATGATTTCAATGCAGAATCCCAGAGATGCGAGTATGGTGAAAGGAAGCAGCCAGTCTCTAGCCCCTCATGATGATCAACCCTTCTTCTATTTTGTATATCCTTTCTTGAAAATGTTTCCCCTGATGAGGATAGGGGGCATAACAATAGGAACTAAGCACAACATCTCTATAAATGACTCACCATTTGAACACTTTCAGAGGTGGGGAAACTAAATCACCCGAAGAAAGTCAGCTCACTGTTGTACCACTCAACCCATCAAAACAATTTTCCTCATGTTTAGTTGTTTCCAGAACTTTCTGCCAAATATCCTAAACAGGGCATGTGATACAAACCCTACATCAACCTTTTAATGAACACAGCCCTCCAAATCTCTCTCTTTTTTCTTTTTTTTTGCCCTAGCTCTCACCCCTCCCCCTATCACCCTCCATAAACCCCCTCTTTCTGCAACTGTTCTTCAGGTGAGATAGCTTTGGTCTTCTTTTTGGGTCCCATTCCTTCATACAAGTTTCCTCTGCCTTATTTCCTTTCATGAGAAGCATCTAGGAATATCCTTCTCCGCATAGAAACAATAACAAATCGATGCTGGATTTCTGCATGTGAACACTGTTTCTGTATGGGGAAGAGGAGTCTCGATGCACAGCACAGGTTGGGACGCATAGGAATGTAGGGTCAATACAATACAGCAGGGTCACAACCGAGGGGGCCCATGAGTTTTTTTAAATGGATAAAATGGGAAGGCTTGGGCCCTCTCCCAGGTCATGGTGAGTTTATCTGTAAAACTCGTGGGCTTGGATTGTTGATTTATTTGACTGTTAAGTATTATCTACTGGTTAAGCACTGTCACTTGTTGAAGGCTCTGAGCCGGAGGCTGTCAGGATACATATTTGAAAGGGGTAACAGGGACAGTGGCTCCAGAATGACACTTCCTTGACGAGTAGAAGATGATTGATGGAGAAAAATTATGTGCTTTGCACTGTCGTGTAATGTCCTCTCTATCTACCATATTATAATACCCGGTATAACATCCAAAATCATCTTGTAGTGTCTTGGGGGTAGCCCTGGGCTTGGAAATCTCCTGTCCATATCCTTGCGATCACAACAGAACACTTGGCCAGAGGAGACTCAGACTCAGAGGAGTTCATAGATACATTTCTCACCTCATGTGTGATCATCATATTTGCCACTTTGATGGAGAACAGAATACTCAGTCTCCATTTCAGCCAAATCATCGTTCTTGGTGGCAGTGGGAGAATCGCACCTGTCCCCAATGATGATGTTCTGTAAAGTGGCTGAAGTACAGTGCTTCTCACTCTATTTCCCAAGCAGGCTCCCCTCCCTTCCTTTGAGCCTGTCACTTTGACGGCCCTGGCCAGCCGCAAGGGGAACGGTGAGAAGACAGTCTGAAAATATTTGGGGACATGGTAGAACATGGGTGAAAATGCATTTGCATTCAGGTATGTGTGTGCACGTCTTTGATGCATATGCAATTGCACAGTGAAGGCTGTGTTTCCAGGTGTCTAAATTTGAGGACTAGTGTTAACATAACTGTGTCTTTGTTAGACTACATGTGTCTCAATGAGAATGTATGTGTGAAAGTGAGTGTGACTATGTAACTGTGGGCTTTATCACCCCAGAAGGGCAATGACCCCACAGGTTCTCATTCATGATAAGGAACAAAACGCAGAGGCAAATCTCTCTGGCAAGTGGATTCTCACATAATGCTGATCGAGGAGAAAGGTGCAATAGGACTTGGCAGCTCTGAGAATGGGGCTCTGGCTAGCTCTCACCCCTCCTCCCATCACCCTCCACATGTCCTGTAAATGATGTCTGAGCTTTTGACACCTCTTCTTTTTTTTTTGGTCTGCAGGTCCCTGTCTGGCCGCATTGTCGGTGGCGTCTGGTGGTTCTTCACCTTGATCATCATCTCCTCATACACGGCCAACCTGGCCGCCTTCCTGACTGTGGAGAGGATGGTGTCTCCCATCGAGAGCGCAGAGGACCTAGCCAAGCAGACAGAAATCGCTTACGGGACGCTGGAAGCAGGATCCACGAAGGAGTTCTTCAGGGTAAGGACATTCCTTGGTCCAGGCACTCTCACAGAAGGGAACCAACACTGTCCTTACAGGCAACGGGTGCGCCCTGCTGAGGTCAAATAGGGGGACTCAGAACATGCTCCACTCGTCTACAGAGCCCTAAGAAATCTGCATTTTTACCTTTTGTAACTGCTTCAAGGAATCCCTGGTACAAAAAGTCAAACACACTCAGCTGTTAACCAAAAAGTTAGAAATTCAAATCCACCAAGAGACACCTGGGAGGAAAGACCTGGTGATCTACTTCTGAAAAATTAGCCATTGCAAATCTGATTGAGTGCAGGTCGACTCTGACGCCCATGGTGGGGCTGAGGGTCAGAGGTGACACAGTGGCAACAGGTGGTGGTGGTGGTGGCGGCGGCGATGGTGATGGTGTGGTGGTGGTGATATAGTGCTTGTGTCGGTGTTGGTGGTCATGGCAGTAGTCGTGGTGGAGGTGCAATGGTGGTGATAATGGTGTGCTTGTGGTGGTTTGGGTAGAGATGGTGTGGTTTCGGTGGTGGTGGTGGTTGAAGTTTCAAAGTAACTGCACTGATGTAGAACTCAGTGTAGTTGTAGGCCATATTGCAGCAAGTTCTCTGAGGGCCTCCAACAATATCAGTACACTCCCCTCTCTGCTCCCAAAGGAAATGTATAGTTTAGTTTATAGCACAGCAATCCCCATGAACCTGATGCTTTCATGCCCCCTCCGATTCCACAGGGAGAGTCCACTTGCTTGATGAGACGTTAGCGTAAGGGGAACAAATAGCCAGCAGAGAGGTCTATTCAACAGTGCCAGGAGGGAGAGAGAATGTACATGAGGTTAGCTGCAGGCAGCACAGTGACACAAGAGAGGGCTGAGGAGCACAAGCTGCAGAGTCAGCCAGGTGCAGGCCCAGAGCATGGCTTCATCTCTTCCTTTTTTGAAGGCACTTAGCCTGTTTGACACCATTGCCCCATCTGTAAAATGAGGATGACAATGTCATTACAATTCCTTGACATTTCTAGCATCCGATAAACATGTGAATGAAGTACTTGGCTGTAGTCCTTGAAGCCAGTTCAATGCCTCGTGACCAGCAGAGCAGTTGGCAGCCACCTGACTCACTTAGCAGGGCTCTCATTATAGACACAACGGTGTCTCCACAACTCACTTTTGTGATCCCCAAAGCATTTTCCCAGTCAAAGTCTCACATGGGTATCACATATAATGTAAGTCCAAATAGGGATTATGGAGTTATTTTGTGGATAAGACATTGAAGCTCAAAACATTCTGGATGCCAGTGTCACACATGGGTATAACATTAGAATTTCCTAACTCCATCTCCAGTATCTTGCCACCGAACTACATTGTCTTAATGGAGTAGTATCAGGAACTGATAAGTGTTTAAGTTAGACTCTCTGCTTCCCAAAGGCAAGGACATCATAACAGGAATCTCCAAAGGCCTTCCACGTCCAGGGCTGTCGCTCCCAGGGCAGAATTAAGTCATTCCATCCTTCCCCACCTCCCCTGGCATCTGCTCTGTGAGGACTACCTTGTCTGGACAGGACTGCTGGAGATGAGAGTCTTTTCCACTAGATAGGCAAGATCAGA